AGAAAATTAATTCCTACACCAATTCTAAAACAAGTAAGCAGTCCATATAGAAACATATAAATTAAAAAAAATATATAAAAAATATGATTTCTCTTCGCTCCTCATTTGACAGCTTAAGCAAAGAATTACGTAAGAGGAAGTAGTGACAAAAGATAAAATGAAAAACTGTGCCATTCACACATACAAGAACCTGTAAAAACAACCTCCAGTGGCATCTCAACATCACGAGTACTTTCTTTCAAAATATCCAGTTTTTTCTCGGTATCCCATCCTGCCGGCACAAAAACGCTATCCCTTTCAATGACATGTGCGGCAGTAGTAAAAGGCAAATTACACGCCCGATGCACCAAGTATTTATACAACAAAGCAGTATTTTTCTCCTCTTTGGCCGAAGTATAAATCTAGACCTTACTCATTTGAAATCCAACTATCAAGAACAGCAATATATAAACATATTTAATATTTCAAAAACATTTCAGTACAATCACCTACCAAAGCAGCCCCGTGTTCCATGCAAAATTTACGGACATGAAACTGAAGGCGATCTAATTGGTCATCAGATAACTCAGACCTTGCCAAGTCGCATTTTGTCAAAACAACTACAACTGCTGCCCCACAGTTCTTTGTGAGCACATTTTGCTCCAGCGGCAGTAACTCCTGAAAAATACATCAATGAATAAGCTAGAAAAGAAAGTAGTGATTAAAAGTTGAAAAAGATTTCTAAAAGCAAACATGATGATGATAAATGTAGAAAAAATACATGTTCAGTTTCTAATGAAGGGATTTTGTCGCTATGCATAGAACTGTCTAAGGGTTCTACGTATTCCTGCCAGAATAACTCTTCTACAAAACAACAAACCATTCAATAACTTTGTAGAATATATATGTGCACCTTATAATTAGAGACATAATTGACAACAAAAAATCTATTTCACGAAGACCCACGTGCTTGCCGTGCTTCAGATATTGCAGCACTTGAAAATATGCTTCGAATCTGTGCATCAATTAAATCTGCCCATTTGTTTAAAGATGGTAAAATTGACCCCGGATTGGAAAATGAAGCACAAAGGACGATAACACAGCGACCCAACGCAGATGTTAGCGCGAACTTTGTAAGAGGAGCAAAAGCCTCATGCCCATCCAAAACCCAAACAGGTAAAGTAACACTTTCGCCAGGAGCAACTCCAGAACCTTAAAACCTTCCCGTCATTTTTATTCAAACCTTTCCCATCTAATAAAATTTAAGAAAGTAAGACCTCCCGAGCAAAAAACTAAAGATTGAAAAGCGAAAGGAAAAAGGTAGAAGAACATAAAATGGTACTTTTAGTGATAAAATTTCCGTAATCAGTTTGCTACCTGCACTGCTTAACTGGTAAGCATAACTCGCGTCTCGGTAATCAGTGTGAACGTTAATAAAGTGATATTCCAAAGCCGATCCTCGCCCTGTAGCTTCCTTTTTTTCCAATCTCCCCAACAGCCAACTTTTGCCAGCTTGTCGCTCGCCTTAAAACAAAGATCTTTAAATCCTTAGCCCAAAAAGCGAATTACGACGGTGAAAACAGTTTCAAAAATCAAACAAGACAACTAAATAGAACACACCAAGAAATAGAACGGAGCCCGGCGGAGAATGACTTGATGACCTCGAGCTCACTTCCGACAAAATTTGCGTCCTGATATAAAATTATGTTGTACCAACAAAAAAAAAAAAGCAGATGCATACGGGATTTAAAATGAAAGTGGTCAACTTAAAACTAGG